GTTAGTGGCGCAACGGTAAGTGACAATTGCCTATGTGATATCATTTGAGAGGAATCCATGATAGTGTACAATGACAATGGACCCATGTTTAGGACGTGTTCCCTGAGCCGAATATGGCAGTGGAGGCTGGAGCAGGCCCACTTTCGCGATTGTTTTGGGCAGCCACACGGGATGCGTTTGATAATGGGAAATCAGTCTTTGTGATGCTATTCCGCCGACGCAATGACCGCCATCCGGTGGTTGTGCTTCTCGGAAATCGGCTATCCGAAGAAAGCGGAAGGCGGTATGGTTGCTGTGTGGCCGTGATCGGACACAAGCAGGAAGTGTTCGCAGTGGTAAGTTGGATTGGAATCGTTCATGAAGAATTTGTAAAATAGTAACACATTCTATATGTTCAGGAAAGACAAACGGAAGCAACGCAACGTCAGCTTCCATTGCACGAATCGTTGATCGAAGCTGGTGCAGTGCGACAATTTGAAAGAGAAGAAATGGATCCGTGGCGTCAAGTTCTCCACGACACGCCTATACTTCCAGCACATTCTGGGATTGCTGCAACAGGAGTGGACCTAAGTTGCTAGAACTCAATTATACTTCCCATAACTTTTCGTAATTGCAAGACTTATTCCACAGCATTACACGTACTTATCAGCTACATAATTCTATTCCCGCTCTTTTGATTTGGAAGTGAAACTTTAGTTAGGCGAATTTCTGAATTTGGCAGTTTATTTTTCAAAAGTGTAATTCCTAATGCTATCCAAATATGACAAGTGACATTGTACGACACACAAAAGCGCATATCATATATGTGCATAATTTGCGCGTAAGAGTACGGTAATGGTGTGGAAATAAATTCATAGAAGAGATTGATGAAAAGTTATGGAAGAATTAGTAATATTGTAGGCGGTTTTGTTTAATTTAGATTATGTACATATAGGTTATATTCTTAATAAAGTAACAAAGATTTATAAGCTTTATAAAGAATATCATATATTTTAACGGGTAGATTAAGCCGGTTTTTTTCTGCCACCGGGTAGCCTGGGCATTGAGCCTTATGTTAAGCTTTTTTAATAAGCTTATTGTATCTTTGCATTGTAACATTTCATTTAGCATTTCATATTAATCTCAACGTAGCTTTGTAATTTACTAGGATCGAGTGTTCTGGCTAATGCCAGAATCCCTGCCGTTAGCAATCTCGGTGAAGGATCGGAGGCGGGGCGATTAGCCCCACTCCTCAGTTTTGTAACGAGACCAACACGCTAGTCTA